TCCTTTGAATTTAAGGCTGGGGTGGCATTTGCCAAGGGGGATGGGTCCTGCTGTGTGGAATCGACTGCTCCGGGCAGAGCTGAGGGTTCTCAGAAAATAGATATATGGAGAGCACTGGAGCAAAGACCCAACGTTCAGTGCTGTGGGCAGTGGCAGAAGGTGATTTTGGAGTGGAGAAAGTGGACAAACCCAGATTTCAAACCCAGGGAAAGCTGAGCAGCTTCCCAGGTGAGTCCAGTCACCTTTAGTTTCCCAACTTTGGTGTAATTTGGGAGTTTCCTCCCCTCTGATCACACACAGCAGCATCCGTGGTACCTGAGCACCGAGTCTGGGGCTGGAGCCCTCTCTGTTAATGACCTTTAATGACCTGATTGCTAACACTTTCCCCCCCCCACTGCTGTGTAATCCCCCCAGGAGTCTCGGCAGTGACCCTCCAGCACGGTTATCGCTTTGCAGGTGGCGGTTTTGAAGCTTTTTTTCCCCTCTTTTCTCAGAAAACCAGCAGAGAGGAGAGCTCCGTGGCGGGAGTGCTGCCCAGGGAGAGGTTTGCAGCTGATGCCCAGGTTGGCACAGGATTAGTCTGATCCCCGGGTAATGCCTTATCAGGATCAAGCGTCTTGAATTGTAAAGCCCAGGAAGCCCGAGAGAGGCAAAATCCCTTTGTTTAGGTTAAATAGAAGCTGAGATTGGTCATGTTTTTCTTCCTTTGTTCTGCAACTCAGCAGAGAGAAGCTGAATTAACACCCCAGCCTGGCGTCTTCACCGGGCGAGCTCGCCAGCTAACGGGGTTCTGTGGGACCACCAGTTCTCCCAGCTCCATCACCGGTTTCAAGAGGGGCTGACAACAGCTCCAGCCACTGAAAAACCCTCTCCGATGTGGAAAGGTTTCCTGTGGGATGTGCCTCCCACCCTCTTTCACATCCCAAGCTGGGGGGCTTTTGCCTTGCCCTCCACGGGGTGGTGGCCACCGTAGATCCTTCAGTCACTCAGGGTCTTCCGGGGCTGTGCCCCTCTCTGCCTTTGCTGCTGGTAGAGCCAGAAATCACCCAGGGCTCTTTATTTTTCGTGCTGATGCCTGAGCTTTCAGGGGGTGAGAGATCTGCTCTCCCACACCCATCCTCACTGACCTCCTGTCCCCACCATCCATTTGCAGGGCCTTCAGCGCAGCGCATCTCTGAGCGGTTGACATAGAAACATTAACCTTTCTGGTTTTTGTGTCTTTTCCTCCACCTGAAGAAGCCACTCGGGCTATTTATAATTTGCCTACGTGCAGAATTCCTGAGAGAGGGGCTGCAGCCGGAGGGCTGAGCTGGCTGTGAGTGGGGGCAAACTGGCAGCAGGCGTTTTCTGTTCGTTTTCCGTGGAAATCCCTGTGTCTCTGCCTGATTTCCCACAAAAAGGAGGCGGTTTGGGCTTTGACATCTTCTTTGAAAGGGGCTGAACCTGCGTTATTGAAGAGCTGTGGTTATTGTGTGATCTTGGCAGGCTTTTCTAAATGAAATATTCAGAACCAATCTCAGCAATGGGCTGAGTGCGTCACACGGCGTCTGCTCTGCAGAATTTGAGGCTTCCCCGGGCTCAGCAGGGACCTGGGAAGTGCTGGGGTCTCTGCTGCTTCTGGACCACGTGTGACACCAGTCGCTTGGCTGTGAGTTCGTGTGGGATGCTCGGGTCAGCAGCCCGGTGGTCTTACTGGTCCTGCCCCAGCCCTTGTGTCACAGAATCACAGAATGATACGGGGTTGGCGTTTTCTGTTCGTTTTCCGTGGAAATCCCTGTGTCTCTGCCTGATTTCCCACAAAAAGGAGGCGGTTTGGGCTTTGACATCTTCTTTGAAAGGGGCTGAACCTGCGTTATTGAAGAGCTGTGGTTATTGTGTGATCTTGGCAGGCTTTTCTAAATGAAATATTCAGAACCAATCTCAGCAATGGGCTGAGTGCGTCACACGGCGTCTGCTCTGCAGAATTTGAGGCTTCCCCGGGCTCAGCAGGGACCTGGGAAGTGCTGGGGTCTCTGCTGCTTCTGGACCACGTGTGACACCAGTCGCTTGGCTGTGAGTTCGTGTGGGATGCTCGGGTCAGCAGCCCGGTGGTCTTACTGGTCCTGCCCCAGCCCTTGTGTCACAGAATCACAGAATGATACGGGGTTGGAAGGGACCCCTGGAAATCATCTCCTCCAACCCCCGGCCACAGCAGGTCCACCCAGAGCAGGTCCCACAGGAACGTGTCCAGGGGGGTTTGAATGTCTCCAGAGAAGGAGACTCCACCACCTCCCTGGGCAGCTTCTTCCAGGGCTCTGCCACCCTCACAGGAAAGAAGTTCCTCCTCATGTTTAGATGGAACTTCTTATGGTCAAGTTTGTGCCCGTTTCCTCTTGTCCTGTCCCTGGGCACCACTGAAAAAAGACCAGCCCCTTCCTCCTGACACCCACCCTTGAAGTATTTATAGGTGTTGATCAGATCCCCCCTCAGCCTTCTCTTCTCCAGACTGAACAGCCCCAAGACTCTCATCCTGTCCTCATCAGAGAGATGCTCCAGGCCCCTCATCATCTTCATAGCCCTCTGCTGTCCCCTCTCCAGCAGTTCCCTGTCCTTCTGGAACTGGGGAGCCCAGAACTGGTCCCAGTGCTCCAGCTGGGGCCTCCCCAGGGCAGAGCAGAGGGGCAGGATGACCTCCCTCCACCTGCTGGTCTTGATGCCCCTTCTTGATGCCCCCCAGGATGCCATTGGCCTTCTTGGCCACAAGGGCCCATTGCTGGCTCATGGGCATCCTGTTGTCCACCAGGACTCCCAGGTCTTTCTCCTCAGAGCTGCTCTCCAGCAGGTCAACCCCAGCCTGTCCTGGTGTAGGGGGTTATCCCTCCCCAGGAGCAGCACCTGCACTCGCCCTGGTTGAATTTCTTGTGCCCTTTTGTGGGAAGTGGGGACCTGGAGAAGCCTGTGGCCGGAGGCTGTGGTGTCACCTCCTCCTCTCCGTGCTGGTGAACATCTCCACCGGGCTGCAGCTTCCACTGCCTCTCCCTCTCCGAACAAGCAGTTCACTACGCACCATCTGTTGATTTTAATTCCCCATAATTTGTTTCCATGTCTGTGCGATTTGTACTTTCATTAATTGTGCTGCTGTTTCCTACTCGGGGAGACTTGCCTTGCAGCGGGGAAATCGGTGTGGTTTTTTTTCCCCCTCTGTCAAAAGCTGTTTTGGTTATTCACACAAATTAGCTCTTCTGTCCTTTGATTTTTTGCTCTCTGGGCCAGTCTTGCTTGAAAAGAAATCTTTGGGAAGAGCGGAGCCAGACCCATTTGTGCAGGATTTTGTTACATCCTCGGGGCCGTACGGAGCACAGCTATTAAATGGCTATAAAAAGGTTTTCTTCCCAAATTTGCTTACTCGCCTGTGGAGAGGAGACCTTGAAGCATCCCAATCGCAGCCCCCCCGGCTCTGCTCCTGCCCCTGAGGCTCCCCAGCTCCTGGGTAGTGGTGGGGCATGAGGTGCACTTTGCACAAGAGCTTTGCACAAGAGCGTGATCTCTCCTGGGGCTGGCGTGTGCCTCGGCTCCTCTGGCTGGTTCTCTAGGAGGAGTTATCACCCAGGCGTGGTGGTTTAGGGACAATTTGGAGTCTCCTTGTCCCGTAGCCACGTACGGGGGGGTCTTTTTCCCTCTCTCCATCCCGAGCCCCGGGTCAGGGCTCGGAGGAGTCGTCGAGTGTTTCAGCTCCCCCCGCTCAGCCTGGACTCGAGGATGCAAATGCTGTGATTATCCGAGTTAGTGCTGCTTTTTATGGTTCTGTTTCCAAGGCAACTGGAAATTCAGAAGACCACAAACACACGCACGGTGGTCCTCTCCTCCTGCACCCTTATCCTCCCGTAGCACAGGTGAACACTCCTGGTGACACCTTCAACCCGTTGGGATGCTCATCCGAACGGCCCCCGCCGTCCCCTCGCGGGGTCATCGCCTCCTTTGAAGGCTGTAAAACCCAACCAGTTCCACAAACAGCTTTGGGTTTGTTCTTGGAATGGGTTTTCCAACCCCCTCCACCTTGCTCAGAGGGGAGCAATATCAAAAACAAAAATGGGGATTCACAACAAAGGGGAAAAAAGTGGGTTGGTTTTTTTTGATGCCTCCTGAAAATAAGATTATTTCATTTCTGGGAGGGAGGATGGAGCTGTGGTGGGAGGGAAAGTTTGAGCAAGGGCAGGAGGGGAGCAGGAAGGAGGGAGCAGTTTATCCCTGAGGAGCTGCAGGGAGGAGGCCGGGGGGGGATCCAGGTCTCCCGTCCCCACTGCCCCCCCGGGAAGGCTCCTCGGCTGGTTTTCTTTGGGGTTTATGGGAATAACCACCATCTAAAATTACAGGATTAGCTGTAATCTAAAATAATCCACAAGATGGGAATTTTCTCCTGGAGTTTGGAGAAACTCCCTTTCTGCTGTGGGACACTGTCTGTCCAGGTGCTGGGCTGGGATTTGGGCACAGGGAGACCAGAATTGGGGGGGTGTCATTGCGGGGATCCCCGTCCTGGTTTAGCTCAGCTCCCGGAGGTTGGGGTTTGGTTCTTCTGCAGCCCCCCCTGGTACCTGTTTGTCTGCACCTCGCAGGGGTGGCTTCTCTGCAGAGTTTTAACCCGCCAGAATCCTTTTGAGCAGATTTTGGTGTTTTGTGCTGCTGTTGCTCTTTATTAAAACAGCATTTCGGGTGGGGGGGAGTGGGATCTTTTCCCCTCCAGCGCCCTCATAAATAGAGAAATCTCTCCTCTCTCCTTCCTCAGAAACTGTTAATTTGGGGTCGAGTGGGGAATTACCCTGGGCAGCCTGGCAGGCTCTTGCACTGAGCTGAGATTAAATGAATTTAGATTAAAATGAGAAGGGTAATGACCTGCCCGGAGCCCTGCTCTCCTGCTCATGCCGGTCTTTGCCCCATTGAAGCGCAGAAGGAGGGACGGTCCTGGGGCTGTTGTGGGGTTTGACCTGACTGTTGGTTGTTTTTTTTTTTCCTTCCTATTTCAGAGGGTCTGGCAGTGGGAGTTGGATTCGGGGCTGTTGGAAAATCAGCGTCTGCCACCTTCCAAAGCGCCAGGTGAGTCCCAACATCACTCACTCCTGCTCTGTGGGCATTGGGGGGGGGGAGTTGGTGCTGGAGGAGCTGCCTGGGCTCTGGAAGAGCTGCTGGCACCTCTTGGTGGCTGCTTGGCCAAACGGCACCCTCCTGCCGAGCTCCTCGACCTGCCCTTTCCAAAGGCTTTTCTTCTTCTGGTTGAATTTTACCCTCGTGGCACAGCAGGTCCCCATCGCCCCGCGTGTGCCAGAGCCACGCTGTGGGTCCTGCCCTGTCCAGCCTGTGAATAAGGCTGTGTCCAGCCTTATGGCTTCAAGTTGCGCCAGGGGAAGGTCAGGTTGGATATTAGGAAACATTTCTTTACTGAAAGGGTTGTCAGGCATTGGAATGGACTGCCCAGGGAGGTGGTGGAGTCACCATCCCTGGAGGGATTTAAGAAACGTGTAGACATGGCTCTTCCGGGCATGCTCTAGTGCCCAAGATTATTGGTTTGTGGTGGGATGTTGTGTGGGGGGGTGATGGTTTTGGTTTGGATGTTGTTTTGTGTTTAGGTGGTTGGAGGTGGGGTTTTTTTGGGGGGTTTTTGTTGTTTTTTTGTTGTTTTGTTTTTTTGTTTGTTTTTTTTTGTGGTTGGACTCGATGATCTCTGAGGTCCCTTCCAACCACTACGATTCTGTGATTCTGTAATAACCCACCTTCAGGGCTGGAGGTTGGAGGTGCCAGGTTGTCTCAGCCACCGTGGTCCCGCCGGAGGATCCGTGGGGTCCCGGGGCTGGGTTTGGAGCCCTCCAGCTTGTCCAGCCCTTTCTGTGACCGTGAGGACCCTGCAAAGACACGAGCAAAACCTTTGGTACCTGATGCCCTCTTACATCCTGCCCTGCGCTCTTTGTTGGCAGCAGATGCCATCCAGGCTCGTGGGGAGAAAAACGGGATACACCAGCTCTAGACACCACATTTCTCTAACCTTTTGAAAGAAAAGGCTCTTCAAAAAGTCCACAGAGGCTCTAGAGATGCTTGAACAAAAGGACTTTTTTTTTTTTTCCCTTTCGTCAGCTGCTCAGTAGAAGCTAAGAAGCCAGAAGCAGCTGGTTCTTTCTCTGTATTTACAACGGCATTAATCATGTTAGATGAAAGGTGGAGTCTGTACCGTGAAAATACCGATGCAAATTTAGTCAGCTGCAAAAGGAGGCAAAATAACTTCGTTGCCACCGATCTGTCTGTGGCTGTCACCCCCGGGCAGCCCAAAAACCGCTCGGTTGTAGCCGCTCCGCCGTGAAACCGGTTGGAAATGGGGAAGAGTAAAACTCGAGGTGACTCATTCCTGTTCTGTGGGCTTAAAAAATAGTGCTGGGATTATACTTGAGGTGAGGCAATGTGAGAAATCGAGCTGAGGGGAAAGCCAAGCTCAGCTCCTGGGGGACGCCGCAGTCATGATCCCCCTCGTGCCTGTTATTTTGAAATAGGGTTTTAATGAAGCCGCTGCGTGACGGGGTTTTCCTCCTCCCTTCTGCTCCCCCCAGGTGTGACTAAGGGTGTTCGTGCCTGGCTGGGGTGAGCTGCCTTTTGGGAAGGCTCATTCCTCCAAACCCTGCGTCGGGCACGAGTGTTGATGAAGGATCCAAGGTGCAGGGAGCCCGAGCTAAAGACATGGATGCCTGGAGTAGCTCCCCGTGGCTGGTGGATGTCCCCAGGGCCGGCTGTCACTTGCCCACGCTACCAGAGGACCTTCCTTGTGCTCGGTGAATCGATGCCTGGGGAACCTTGATGGGTTGATGTAGTGCTGGGAGGTATGGTTTAGTGATGGTGTTGCTTTTTGGGTGTCTATTTTTGTCAAAGTGAGGTTGACGGTTGGACAAGATGATCTTTAAGGTCCCTTCCAACCTAGAAGATTGATTCTGTGATTCTGCATTGCTCCCGGAGCGGGGAAGGAGCCTGAATTCCTTCCAGCTCTCTGCGGGGTCCTGGTGAGACACGGCCCTGCTGGATCCCCAAGGGCTGTTTTCGGAGCCACGGGCTTTGCAGATAAGCAGCGTGTTTGCGGAGAGACCCCAGAGCATCTCAAGGTCCCTGCCTGCCCCGTCCATCCTGCCCCGTCCATCCATCACCATCCCAAGTGCTTTGTTTTTAGTGCCGTGATGCTCCCCAGTTTGTTTGGGGGAGTTAATACCCCCTCCCTGATACCCCGCAGGGTTAGTGATGGGGTTTTGGCAGTGTTGTTAGGTTGATAGTTGGACTTGATGATTTTTTTAATTGCTTATTTCTTTTTTCTTTTTTTTTTTTTTGTCAGAGATAGGTTGATGGTTGGACTAGATGATCTTTAAGGTCCCTTCCAACCTAGACAATTCTATGATTCTGTGATTCTATGATCTGGAGGGTCCCTTCCAGCCGAGACAATCCTATGATTCTATGAAATCCCAGTGGCTGGGGGGTTTCTCGGTGCTGCCCACCTGATGGATGGGTGCTGTGGGGCATGGCGAAGGACTGTTTTTGGGCCAGCTCTACTGCAGAGATGGGGCTGGCTGGGAGCCACTGTGGCCAGTAAGGACCAGCACGGATGGCTTAAGCAGGCAAAGACTCACAGATGATGGTCTGATTCATTGGGATGCTTTGAGGTTTGGCTGAAAACCGAATAAAGGAGGGTTTGGGAGCAGCGTGGGCTTCTCGCCTTTTAAAACACCCGGTGCTTTGTGTGTGTGTGCATCCTCTCTGCCATTCCCTGGCTCTCTGTGCTCCAGTAGGCTCCTGCCCCTTATGTCTGGGCTTGCAGGATCCCCCTTCCCTCCACCCCAGATCCCCGGAGCATCTCGGAGCTTTCTGCCAGGTCCCTGCCCACTCTCCTCCGCGTTTCTTTGCTGCCACCGGGTGTGCAGGCTCCGTTCCTGCCATCTGGCTCCTCCACAGCTTCTCTCTCCCAGGGCTTGCTCTTGGGATTCCAGCCCTTCTCCTGGCGAGTTGTTTCATTTATGGCTTGTAGTGTGGCAGCCGGGGCCGGGGGGGAAACCCCGCTTTATTTGGCCTGTCTGGGGATGCTGGTGATGCTGCATCCCTGCTGCAGAGCATCCCTTCCTCCATCCCTCCCTGCTGAGGAGCGCAGCATCCCTCTCTCCATCCCTTCCTGCTGCAGGACCACGATTCTCCTGCCCAGTTCCTCACTGGGATGAAAGGCTGGGAAGGTCCCAGGGGCTGGAAATAGCGGCTCAGGACAAAGCTGCTGTGGTGACAGAGGAGGAGTGAGACCCAGAGCAAGCGTGTGCCCGGGGTGGGGGAGCAGAGCCCCCCTGCAGAGGAGCTGTGCCCGGTGTGGGGTGTGCGGGGAGCCCCAGGAGGGGGGAATGTCCCCTCCAGATGTGAGCAGGGAGGCATGAGCTGCTGCTGGCTGCCTTCCAGGCAGGAAGGTAAAGAGAAGGGCAGCCATGTCTTAAAAAAGCTGTTTTACCTCCCCCTCCTTTGCAGGCTGTAGCGTTGGGGAGGGGGGGAGGAAACCCTCTCCACCTTGTGAGGCTGATTTAACGGGAACCAGATGGGGCTGGAGCTGCTGAGATCAGGAGGGGCTGAATTTGTGCTTCCCTGGGCTGCTCTGGGGATGCCGAGTGGGCAGGGACACCTGGGGGTTCCCCCTCCTCCTGCTCCCCCCCCCCCACACTGTCCCTCCCGTGCCCCTTTGGGGTTTGGTTTGGGCTTTGTCCCCATCACAGAGGGGGTGTGAGCCCCACGGTGCAGCCTTGGGCAGCAGAGACAGAGCATCCTCCAAGGATAGGAGTCCTGGAGGGGACAGGGGTCCCCAGGGACTGGAGCTGGGGGCCTGGATGTCCTCTCTCCTCCCTTCTGCTCCCTTGCCCTCACCATCCTTCTCGTGGCCATTTGCAGTTTGGTTCAGGCTTTGTCCCCATCACAGAGGGGGTGTGAGCCCCACGGTGCAGCCCCGGGCAGGGATACAGCATCCTTCGAGGATGGGGGTCCTGGGGGTAACGGGGGTCCCCAGGGACCAGAGCTGCGGTCTTTTCTGGTCACAAGGGACGATATGTGCCAGAAAATAAAATATATTAAAAAAAAAAAAAAAAGATAAGTTCAACTGCAGCAGCATTTTGAGGTCCTGGGTAATTGGTGAGGGCTGAGTTGGGCAGAGGGCTCATTTAATTTTAATTTCAGTGTGGAGAGCCATCTCCAGTCCGAGCTCCCACCCAGGAGGGTGCTCCCGCAGCCCGGTGGCTTTGCCCTGGGATCCCTCCAGCATCGGATGGGGGATTCCTGCCTCCTCAGAAAAAGCATCCTTCTCCTTTGCCGAGGGTTTGCTGGGCTGGTTTCACTCCATAACTCCCTGGGTGATGGTTTGAATGGCCCAGGACGGTGCCCCCATCCCCACATTTCCCTTCTAGTCTGCATTTTTGGTGCTGGCTGCTCTCTGTGCTCCCCGTGGTCCCGACACGGATGGGGCAGAGCTGCTTCTCTGCTTCCTCCATGGAAAACAGAGGTGAATTAGGGCAGTGTGGACCCGGCTGTTACAGGGAATACCTTGGTTGGTTGTAGGCAAGAAACATTCACAAGTCTGACTTGGACTGGAAAGACAGAATAGAACAGGGATGGGAATTTTTCTGTACTCACCATCCCCCAAAACGGTGCATTTTTAGTTCCAAATCCATCCCTGTTACAGGGTTAGGAAGCTCATGTCCCTGCTGGGGGCTGGAAAGTAGAGGTGTCCGGGATGTCAGTGCTCTGGGCTGAAAGTCCCACACCGGGAGGTTTCTGCAGAGCAAGAGCTGTCCCCATCCCCATTCCCATTCCTGTTCCCATCCCCGTTCCCATCCTTGTCCCCGTTTTCATCCCCATCCCCGTTCCCATTCCCGTTCCCTGCTCCTCTCCCATCTGACACTAGGTGGTAACATCCATGCTCCGATCAGCCTGGTCTGGGCAGATTTGGGGCTGGTTCATGGTGTCCCGTGGCTGTAGGGCGAGTTCTGGAGGGAGCGGGACTCCCAAACGTGTTTTTTTGGCTGGAAAAATGCCGCGGGGGGGCAGCTCTT